TGTATATATATATATATACTTACCTGTAAATTTTTCCAAAAGGGAATCTTTTTTTTATTTGCCTGTGTTTAAAATCTTTAAATAGTAAGTGAATGAAACATGCTCACAAGTTATGGAGAATAATTTTTTATGATTATAAAGTGATATGAATGTATGATATGAGTATTTTCTTTGTCCATATATGAAGTGCTACCAGTCATCTGAAGTGTTCTAAATATTTCAAGTACATCCAACTTTTGAAACAGAGGCATAGTTTTTACATCCTTTTTATTACATTATTGTATTTTCATAGGTATTATTAAAATTGTAACTAAAACGTCCCAAGAAATTCAGCTGAATCTTTGCCATGTTGTTATGCAGATAGTTTTTTTTTCTTTTTTTGGTAATTTGTAACACTACAACTGAGGTTTAAAAGGAATATTTGGTCTATTACATAAAATATAAATTTATATTTTCTGTTATTCAGTTATTCTTATTTTTCAATAATTAAACTGTTTGAACCTGATTTTGTTATCCTTGTCTGTGTTTTAGTTGTTGTGCCTTTTAAAGTATTTTTAGTTTTACTCTAAGTACATAGTTTACTTTGATCAAAAGGTTATTATTATTAACCTTCAATTTCTGGAACTGTTTCGAGATGTATCCCACATTATGAAGTATGTTCTTTTATTTATTGTAATAAATATTCTGGTAAATTAGTTGTTTACTGATGATCATAATTGTTTTTACCTTCAAAACGTTTATGAATGAGTTTAATAAGAATTAGTCCCTATGATTTTATGTTTCCCATTTCTAGAAATATATTTCTATTTTTATTTCATTGGTTTCTGAGATAGGAGTTCTCAAATTAAATTTTAATTTTGGGAACTGTGGCACCCTCTCTTGAACATTTTATTCACATTTTTTTATTGAATACTTTTTAATTATTCTTTTGGTACCAATGTTCTCTTTCTGTAAAACACTTTACTTTTTTTCAGCCACATTCTGTGAATAAACGCCACCCACTACCTACATCACCTAAATTTAGCCCTTCAAGACAGCATTCTCTCAAAACGTCTTCATCTCATGATGAAAAAGAAAGTCCTACTAAACCTATCATAGCTCCACTTGGAGAAAATTCTTTTGTAGAAAAGACAGTGACTTTTGCTGGGTACTCTGGTATGTTTGGAATTTTGTTTGGTTTTTAAAGTAGTTGACATATTATTCCTAGGCTTTTTATTAACATGTGAGTTGTTTAAAGCTCTTTTTGGTCATTGAATACATTAAAATGTAGATTAAGTTGTATAAGAAATTTCAGCACTTATCAAATACTAAAAGGTTTGTAAGAGTGAAAAGGGGTTAATTGTACAGTGGTATCTAAAATCTGCTACACAATCTGTACAATTTGTGTATTGTTCAAGAATGTTTTTTCAATTAATTTACTGCCATACATAGGCAGATTTCATTACTGTATATTCTTTGAACTCCTGCATGACATGACCTAAGCACCTAAAAAATGTATTGCTGGAGGGTAATTTAGTTAAACACGTTGATTGAGATATGATATTTTTCTGTGATTGACTGCCTTTATAAAATCACTGAAATGAATGATTTTCATGTGGAAAAACAAAATATTTTCGTGTGCCTTTAACTCATTGTTTGGTATTAAAAACTTGTTACATCCATACTTGGGTGTTAATGTTCTTCAAATAGGAAATGTTTTTGTATAACAATTTTAACGATATTAAAATTAGTGTTGTACGATGTAATGTATTTTTTTTCCAGAGAATTGTTTTATTCTTGATTCAAAAAATATATTTCCATAAAAAGAAGGGCATTCTAAAATCATTTATATACAACATAAACATAAATTTATTCAAGACTTTTTTCAATAATAAATTAAGTAACAATAAAGTAAAACTTGCATCTAATTATAAATAGCTTTTCAAGACAGACACACTACATTCCATGATACTTTGTAGAAAAAGTATTAATAAGTCTTAGTTTTTTAGGCTGCTAAAGGCAGATATACTTCTGTTTTGCTGCTTATAAACTTTAACTGTAAGTTTAAATCACAAAATGTTTTATTTTTGTTTACTGTTAGAACTCAGAGATGTCATCTATATCTTACCTTTATAACTGATTTTTAAGAAAAATTAGTCTTCTTGTAGAACCCAAAATGTTTGAAAGGTTTGTTGAAATCTGTCTGGTATTGACAAAGTATATAGTGTGCACAAATGCACATATTTATTTTTTATATTTATATTTATTATCTCCTTATTCACACAAGTTTTTATTGGTTGTACATAGTAAAACTTTTGTTTATTTTATTCACAAGGTTTCACCAGATTTACCTGGTATTATCAGGTGAGACACAAGAACTGAATAAAAGAAACAAAAGTTTTGCTATGTACAACTGATAAAAACTTGTGTGAATTTCAAAAAAACATAGTTCTTTCTAACATTTAATTCATTTCATTTCCTTAGTTTTTCCAGTGAACAAAAGTCTCAATAATGCAACATTACGCATATATTATGCAGAAAATTCAGCCTGTATGTAAAAATTATCTTTTTTTCTTGACATCAATGTCTCAGCTGGAAATAACTGCAGGAGGAGCTCCTACACTTTTCGTGATACAACCATTGCCAATGAAATCTCTTTATTTTCTCTATCTGAATTGATGGTGGGTGAATGGTGTTAACTAGCTGCCTTACTTTTAATCTATCACTTCAAAATTAAGGCTGGCTAACATAGATAGCCCTGCAGTAGCATTCTGTTACAGTTGTACTAACAGTCTAATTACAACCTATCTAGACAGCTGAATATTGGTAAAACCAGCCAGAAACAGTTTTTAATGTGTCATATATCAACAATAATCAAATGATGTGCAATTTTTGGTTACCCATGTGTTTATAATGTGCATTTTTCAAACTAATGTGATCTCTATGTGAAGTTGCACATATATATGACAACTGATAGCAGCACCTGAATAAGAAAAATATGGGTTACTTCACTTAAAGCTATTTATAAAGATTTATTGACTCTTCAATCACTTTATCTTTATTTGGTTTGCCAGCTTGGATATCTTACATCTTGAGAACGTGTCACATAAATAACTAATATAAATAACATTTAATTAAGACAGTGTGTTGCAACCTAGTTAGCTATAAATGCTATTATACAACATTCTTACAGAAAACTCATAATGGACCAGTTAAGAATGATGTGATTGAAAATTAGTTTCATTATGATATATATATGCTATAAAAGGATTATACTTTGCAGTTTTAGCATTTACATTACATAAGCACAGTGGTTAAACAACTTTGTTGATGGTATTGAATTAAAATGTTGAAATTTGTTCTTGTTTATCTTGGGGGGGTGTGTGTGGTGGTTATCAAAGGAAGTCAAGTAATGTTTGTAATATTGACACAAATATTCAGTTGTCTTTTCTGGACATTAATTTATTATAATGTTTTTATTATTTTTGAAGGAAGTGATGATGAGGAAACAAGTGAAGAAGTAACACATTCTTCAGAATCTGCATCAAACATTGATATTTTAAAGAACCAAACTGTTCCAGACAAAATGCTCTCCCATACTTTTATAAAGAAGGTTTGTAGGTTTAATATAAATAAAAAAATAGGTTAAATAAGAATGCAATGTGTAAAAAAACACAACTTTGTGAAACATTTATTTAAAGGAGGGTAATAAAATTCTGCATATGCAAAAAGAAGATATCATCTTGTTTCATCTAAAGTTATAAGTGATGTAAATCATAATATGTGTAAATATAATAACACAAAATTCATAAACTAATAAATTGTTTTAAAAGAGCTACTTATTTCATTGATAGATTTTGATGAGCATTAGATTGATTCACAGAATTTGCAGTTAATTTTTATGTGTACAATATGTAGACTATTGTTTGAGAAAATCCAAACTTCTTAACTCTGTTATTTTTATGCTTTTGATGAATATTCACATGGGGTATGCTTAATTCATCATCTTGAATGTGTGGAACTTTCTGCCCAGTAATAAAATGACTTGGAACAGTGTTCCGGACTTCTTTTGACTATTCTTAAAGAAGATGTGGTGTAAAAGAAACTGATTTCATCAATGTGGTGAAGGAAGTATACTGTTGCAACTTCACTTAAAATATTTTGCCACAATGCATGAAAATTATTATTCTTGTCACTACGAAACAAAGAGTTATCCCTGGAAATAAATCTTGGACTGTTAACTCTTACATCAGCAGTTAGCACCATCATCATCAAACATGCCTTTGAATGGGAAAGCAAGAACAGCATACGCATTCTCTGCCATAGTAGAAATGCTAACTTTGTGTTCCAGTTCACTCGACTCATCTACTACAAAAGAACATCCAGAACACCTTCTGAACAGATGAATAGAGCATGCCTATGATGTTCTGGGAGAATCTTTATTTTAAAAAAATGGTTATGAATATGAACATTACATTTCTTAATTGGATCATGCATGTATACTTTTTAAAAATGCATAAACACAATAGTTTTGTGACAGTAATATAAATATCTTTTTGTATTTGTTAAAATAACAGAATGCATGATTTTTGTCTTAGAGTGATATATTGTTTAAAGACACTTAAGAAAACATTATTTCTTTCATTGATTATAATGATTTTGAAACTTATTTTATATATATATATGTATATATTGACATCTAAGACTTTTTGATGAACATTTTTTTTCTTTGCAAATTTTCCTTCATAATCCAGTGGCATATGCATGTGATATCTTAGTTGTTTTTTTTTAGATCAAGATAAATAAGTACTAGTTTCTTCCTTATCAATAATATATTTCAACTATTTAGTAATGAACAGAAACACAAATATTTCGAAAATTTTTTAAATTTAACATAAAATTAAAAAGGAATAATGTTACTGTGTAGTTTACACTCAAAACTTCCTTAATCCAGTCTTTTTTTTTTCGTTTGCATGAAGCACCTGCACACCTGCAGCTTTGGTTATAACTGTACTTGTCAAAAAGTAGGTACACATAACAAAACCAAATAAGAAACAGTTGTAAAAAGGAAGTACACACTATTAAGAAACATTCTAAAATTATCTTAGGCTGAAATTCCCATTTAAGTCGATATGACATGAGAATCAAACAAGATTAAATATTGATGAAAAACAGATATTCTACTTCAAACATATGTATATTTTGTTTGCAAAACTTGCAAGAAGAGCTACATACAATGTACTTAATATGATTAAATGTATTTTTTGAACACAAAGATAACTGAAATTGCTTTAGAACTTTTAAACTCTGAATATACTAGTGCATCTATTTTTTATGTTTGAAGTTTCCTGTACAGCTGGGAGATTTAACTGATATAATCAGTTACCTAAGAGCTGCAAATATATTGATTAGTGTCCCATAAACTAATTGATTAATGTCACAAAAAGAATTAACTAATCAAAAGTAGTTGTTTTGTTTATTAATATTTTCAATTATTCCAAAAATTTATAAATTAAAATTATGACTAAGTCAACTGTTTGAAGTTTCCAGTAGAGCTGATCTCAACAGGCTGGCTGGGATATGGAATACATAGTAGTGGTTGAGACAATTCTTATATTATCAAATTGCATGAACAACAGTTGTAATAGTGTGAACTAGGTTAAGTTGGGAAGTGTAATTATTATCAGCAATTGATACCTACATAAATACTGCTGTGTTAAAGTAAAACAATCTCTAAAACTCCCTCTTAGGCCTTTTTCATAAAGAAATACTGGTTTAATTGTGCATTTTACAGGCTACACGTTTAATATCTATGGAAAATACTTATTTTTCTTTTGCTTGTTTTTATATATTAATAGAATTACTGTCTCTGCATTGATTGAATTCACCAGTATAATTTTAGTCTTACAAGCTACCTCTAAAAGAAATGTCTCCCCCAACCCAATGGTTCAGCAGTAAGCTTAAGGGCTAATAACAGTTAAATTTGAAGTTCAAATTGGAATGAAACTAGCCCAATGTGTAGCTTTGTGTTTAAAACAAATATATTTTTGTACAGTAAAAGATTACATTCATTGGTATTTTATTGTGTAAAAATGTAAATTTTGTCGTATTTGATTTTTTAAACACGTGATATACTCTATACTTCACATCAATAAAACATTCTGTAACTTTGGTCACAAAAGCAACACACAAATCAAATAGCTATACAGACCTTTTTTGTATAGGAAATACAATCCATTTAACTTTTCATACTCCTGATGATTTCTCATCTTAATATGGTTAGAGAGACGTGAAACATCTTTAGTTAGAGAATGATTCATATGTTTGTAATTACTTTGTAACCCATTTCA